GTGTCTTTTTTTGTCTCATACACATGCAAGATTTCAGGTACGTCTTGCTAATTCTACTTACACTTAGGTCACACTACACATACATGTACAAGCATATATATACACACCTTCTTGTTCTTGTTTATTTCCTCTTACCTCCATGGGAAGTGGAACAGAATTCTTCCTCTGTAAGCCATGTGTGTTGTAAGAGGCGACTAAAATGCCAGGAGCAAGGGGCTAGTAACCCCTTTTCCTGTATATATATTACTAAATGTAAAAGGAGAAACTTTCGTTTTTCCTTTTGGGCCACCCCACCTCGGTGGGATACGGCCGGTGTGTTTAAAAAAAAATATATACAGTGGACCCTCAACCAGCGATATTAATCCGTTCCTGAGAGCTCATCGTTAATCGAAATAATCGTTAGTCAAGTTAATTTTCCCCATAAGAAACAATGGAAACCAAATTAATCCATGCAAGACACCCCAAAGTATTGAAAAAAAATTTTTACCACATGAAATATTAATTTTAATACACACAAACTGAAGAAGACATGCACAGTTACATGACACTTACCTTTATTGAAGATCTGGTGATGATTGATGGGATGGGAGGAGGGGAGACCGTTGATCTTCTTAGTGTTTAGAAGGGGAATCCCCTTCCATTAGCACTTGAGGTAGCAAGTCTTTTTCTCGGGTTACTTCCCTTGTTCTTTTAATGCCACTAGGACCTCCTGAGTAATGTACGTCCTGCTTGGCATTTTCTTCCAAAACAGGCCTGTTTCGTCACAATTAAACACTTGTTCAGGTTTCAGTCCTTCACTGTCTATGTACTCCTTGAATTCCTGCACATATTTTTCAGCTGCTTTGTGATCCACTACACCTCTTAAATCTCTCAAACCAACCTTTGCTGGCCTTAAATTCACTCACATCACTAGTTGCTGGCATTTTTTTAATTAAATCGTCATGCAACTTCCTAGCCTTTTCACATATGATCGCTTGAGAGATGCTATTATCTCCTGCTATCTGTTTCTCGTTTATCCACGCCAATAAGAGTCTCTCAACATCTTCTACCGCTTGCGATCTCAGTTTCGAAAACATAGGTGCACCTTTGGCAAGAACAGCTTCCTTGATTGCCGTTTTCTTGCCCACAATAGTAGCGATGGTTGATTGGGGTTTATTATACAACCTGACCAGCTCAGAGATACGCACTCCACTTTCATACTTATCAATGATCTCTTTCTTCATCTCATAGTAATTCTCACCCTTTTTGTTGTAGGGTTGGCACTAGAAGGTTTCTTGGGGCCCATGGTGACTTATTTTGCAGGTGCAATCACTACAAAGGCTGTGATAATATGAAATGTTCCAGTTGTATGTTTGGAAGCGACCGCGGTGGCTGGCTGGCTTGTAAACACTGGCACCCATGGGACAAGTGAGGCGCCTCAGGCCAGCCAAAGTGGACGCATCTCGTACGGAACGAATAGCGCTGGTCGGGTTTTTAAGCGCTAGTCAAGGCAAAATTTTTGCGTTTAAATGTATCGCTAGTCAGATTTATCGTTAATCGATGCCATCGCTGGTTGAGGGCCCACTGTATATAGTAGACCGTTATTGAGCACGAGTTTATTTGGCACGATTTGAGTATAGCACGATTGAAGAATTGAGGCACAATTTTATATAACACGTTGTATGATGAATTTAACATGGTTCAGTTTGCGGGAAGGTAAAAAAAAACTTCCTTTTTCCTCAAGCGGCTGCCTTGTTGTGGTTCCCGCTGTCCCCAGCCACCCCCCCGACACCACCCCACCATCAGAGCATTCGTACTTCATACGTGTCCAGTCCAACTTCCCTGCTACAAGTTTGTGATTGTGAATTGTGTTTTGATCTTTTAATTGCTATATCTTGTATCTACCAAGCAATCATGACACCTGGTAAGCATACCAGTGTTGCTCAAAGTGGCAAGAAAAGGTGTAAACATTTAAGTCTTAGAATTAACGAAGGAAACAATGATATTAGACAAGACATCCTGTGGGAATAATGAAGTGTTATTTTGTACACATAAAAAAAGGTAAACATAAGTTTGTGTGACTGACTGCTTATTGAATGACTGAACGACTTGACTGACTTAATGACTTTACTGACTTGCTGAATGACTTGATTGACTTACTGAATGACTTGACTGACTTATTGAGCAACTGGATTGATTTACTGAACGATTTGACTTAGTGAATGACTTGACTTACTGAATAACTTGACTGACTTACTGAATGACTTCAAGTTAGACACTCCAGTACAACCATCAACTTGAGTACCAGAACCTATACCATCCACCTCAGCCCAGTAGGGCCACAGCGTAACTCTCCGCTCTCTTCACAATCATCCACAAGCACCAGCACCCACAATTTAAGGTAAGAAATATTGTTATGTCTGTTACATTTGTAGTCTTCAGCAGTACAAACACCATAATGCATATTAACAATGAACTTCGATTACATATTCACTTTTATTTTTGTAAGATGTGGAGGCCTAAAAAAAGTTGTTTGGCTTTTTTGGTGCTCTCAGGAACGTAACCCTATTTTTCCTATAAGTTCTTCAGTTCATCTGACACGGTTTTACCTAACACGGTGTTTTCTGGAACGTAACTACCGTGTTAAATGACAGTCTTCTGTAATATATATATAATATAATATATATATATATATATATATATATATATATATATATATATATATATATATATATATATATATATAATATATATATATATATATATATATATATATATATATATATATATATATATTATAATATATATATATATATATATATCTGGTGACCTTTTTTCTGTCTCATGAACGTGCAAGGTTTCAGGTATGTCTTGCTTCTTCTACTTACACTTAGGTCACACTACACATACATGTACAGGCATATATATATACATACATACCCCTCTGATTTTTCTTCTATTTTCTTTCTAGTTCTTGTTCTTGTTTATTTCCTTTTATCTCCATGGGGAAGTGGAACAGAATTCTTCCTCCGTAAGCCATGCTTGTCGTAAGAGGCGACTAAAATGCCAGGAGCAAGGGGCTAGTAACCCCTTCTCCTGTATATATTACTAAATGTAAAAGGAGAAACTTTCGTTATTCCTTTTAGGCCACCCCGCCTCGGTGGGATACGGCTGGTGTGTTGAAAGAATACAAAAATTATATATATATATATATTATATATATATATATTAAATATATATTATTATATTATATATATATATATTATATATATATAATATATATATATATTATATTATATATATATATATATATATATTACAGTGGACCCTCAACCAGCGATGGCATCGATTAACGATAAATCTAACTAGCGATACATTTTATCGCAAAAATTTTGCCTCGATTAGCGCTAAAAAACTCAACCAACACTATTCCTTCCGTCTGAGACGCGTCCACTTCTGGCCAGTGTTTACAAGCCAGCCAGCCACCGCGGTCGCTTCCAAGCATACAATCGGAACATTTCATATTATCACAGCCTTTTTAGTGATTGCACCTGCAAAATAAGTCACCATGGGCCCCAAGAAAGCTTCTAGTGCCAACCCTACAGCAAAAAGGGTGAGAATTACTATGGATATGAAGAAAGAGATCATTGCTAAGTATGAAAGTGGAGTGCATGTCTCCGAGCTGGCCAGGCTGTACACAAAACCCCAATCAACCATTGCTACTATTGTGGCCAAGAAAACGGCAATCAAGGAAGCAGTTCTTGCCAAAGGTGCAACTATGTTTTTGAAACTGAGATCGCAAGTGATAGAAGATGTTGAGAGACTGTTATTGGTATGGATAAACGAAAACAGATAGCAGGAGATAGCATCTCTCAAGCGATCATATGTGAAAAGGCTAGGAAGTTGCATGACGATTTAATTAGAAAAATGCCAGCAACTAGTGGTGATGTGAGTGAATTTAAGGCCAGCAAAGGTTGGTTTGAGAGATTTAAGAATCGTAGTGGCATACATAGTGTGATAAGGCATGGTGAGGCTGCCAGTTTGGACCAAAAAGCAGCTGAAAAATATGTGCAGGAATTCAAGGAGTACATAGACAGTGAAGGACTGAAACCTGAACAAGTGTTTAATGGTGACACTGACAATGTTGTGAAACACGTTAGGAATGTCATAAAGAAACGGGAGGTACAGGCCTCTATGGGCAGATATGTTGTGCGACAGAGGTCCAGTGACTCTCAAGCTGGTCCTAGTGGCATTAAAAGAAGGGAAGTAACCCCGAAAAAGGACTTGCCACCTCAAGTCCTAATGGAAGGGGATTCCCCTTCTAAACACTAAGACCATCAACACACTCCCCTCTTCCCATCCCATCAGTCATCACCAGATCTTCAATAAAGGTAAGTTTCATGTAACTGTGCATGTCTTCTTCAGTTTGTGTGTATTAAAATTAATATTTCATGTGTTAAAATTTTTTTTTTCAATACTTTTGGGTGTCTTGCACGGATTAATTTGATTTCCATTATTTCTTATGGGGAAAATTAACTTGACTAACGATTATTTTGACTAACGTTGAGCTCTCAGGAACGGATTAATAGTGTTAGTCAAGAGTCCACTGTATATATATATATATACACACACATATTATATATAATATATATATATATATATATATATATATATATATATATATATATATATATATAATATATATATATATATATATAAACAAAATGTCAGGCTATTATATGCATTTGAAAGTGGAAAAAAGACTGTTTTACCTTACAGTGATTTTCACTTTACAGCAGTAGCCCAGAACCTAACTTGCTGTGTAAGCAGGGCCCTCCTGTATCTGCCTGCTGAATTGGGAGGGAAGGAGGGTAGTGGGAGATATTAAGGGTGGCTGATGACCAGAATAAGGAGTAAAAGATGAATTTTGTAAAATACACTATTTTTTGTTAGGAATATGTATAACTTTGGAAAAATACTATAATGAAGCTATATAAATTTCCTGTCATTATAATTTCCAGAACACTGAAAGGCCGTGGTCTTCCTGGTTCTAGTGTCGTGTTCAGACAGGGAACAAATGTCGAGATAGGACCACCTTCATTCATGGCACCTCCAGACGGAGCTAATGGGGTAAGATGTTTAATACTTGATTAATGAGGCATTTTGCTTTAATATTACCATAACATTTACCATTTTTTTTTATTTTAAGTAAATATTATGGGACTTTATAAGTTAATATTGTTGTAGTCTTTAGGGTGTATGTTTTTGTATTACTGTAGCAGGAAACAGTAATTGATGTACAATATTATCTTCCTAGATGATTTTACAATACAGGTATCTTTCTTAGCTAATAATTATGAGGTAAAAATACTATATATTCAATATTTGCTGGTGTTATTTTTCTGTCTCATAAGCATGCAAGGTTGCAGGTATGTCTTGGTACTTCTGCTTATACTTAGGTCACACTACACATGCATGTTCAAGCATATATATTCTAACTCCTCTGGGTTTTCTTCTATTTTCTTATTATTTCTTGTTCTTGTTTATTTCTGCTTATCTCCATGGGTAAGTGGAACAGAATTCTTCTTCCTTAAGTTATGTGTGAAAAGAAAAACCTTATAAAATTGGGATGTTTGAATGTGCACAGATGTAGTGTGAATGATAAGAAAGAAATGATTAGTAATGTAAGGTACCAAGGGATTGGCAGAGAGCATGCATAGTTCCTTTGTATAAAGACAAAGGGGACAAAAGAGAGTGTAAAAATTATAGGGGAATAAGTCTGTTGAGTATACATGGTAAAATGTATGGTAAAGTTATTATTGAAAGAATTAAGAATAAGACGGAGAGTAGGATAGCAGATGAACAAGGAGGCTTTAGAAAGGGTAGGGGGTATGTAGACGAAGTGTTTTCAGTGAAACACATAGGTGAATAGTGTTTAGATAAGGGTAAAGAGGCTTTTGTGGCATTTATGGATTTGGAAAAGGTGTATGATAGGGTGGATAGGGGGGTAATGTGGCAGATGTTGCAAATGTATGGAATAGATAGGTTATTGAAAGCAGTAAAGAGTCTTTATGAGGATAGTGAGACTCAGGTTAGAGTATGTAGGAAAGAGGGAGATTATTTCCCAGTAAAAATAGGCCTTAGACAGGGATGTGTAATGTCATCATGGTTGTTCAGTATATTTATAGATGGAGTTGTAAGAGAAGTGAATGCTTGGGTGTTGACAAGAGGTGTGGGGTTAAAAGATAAAGAATCTAGCACAAAGTGGGAGTTGTCACAGTTGCTCTGTGCTGATGACACTGTGCTTTTGGGAGATTCCAAAGTGAAGTTGCAGAGGTTGGTTAATGAGTTTGTGTAGGGTATGTAAAAGAAGGAAAATAAAAGTGAATATAAGAAAGAGTAAGGTGATAAGATGAAAATATTAGGTAACTGTTATGGGGCTATGGGACCCAACATGTATTTATGTATCTGTAAGTTACTCTGGGATACCTAATTATATTGAATTGATGGGGACTCAGCTCTAAATGTCATAAGGGCAGATCACTCTTATGGCTGTAAGGCAGCTGAGTCAAGCCTGTTTTTCTCAATGTAATAGGTTATACTAGGCACACAAACACACAATTTAAATTAAGTAGTTTATAAAGTTGTAATTCTTTTTGTAAAAGTAAAATTAAGGTGTGGTATAATTGTGGTAACTGGAGAATTGTGCTTGGCAACATTCTTTTGCTTTTGATGGGTGTGGGAGGAGCTTAGCTAGGCTCCTCCCTCTCTTTCTCTCTCTGTTGGTGGACTCCAAGCTGACAGGACCTCTGGGTCCTTCTTCTATTTCTTTTGGGCATTATGTGTGCTCCAGGGGTGAGTTTTTATAACTTAAGTTGGGGCCACCATACCCAGGGTGACTAAAGTGTGTCAAAACACTGGTTAGCCCAGAGATTAGTCATGAAGAGGGAAGGGCAAAGTTGCTGAGATGCACCATGTGGGAGAACAGCTAAGGAGTGTGTAGACTTATGTTTTGAATATGTGAGTGCTGTAATTGTATATTCTGTACATATCTATTCAGAATACAGTTATATTTTTATAGTAGTAGTTTAAATAACCTGTGAAGAGGGCTGGTGGAAGGATATCAGAGACACTGTGGATGATCAGTCATGATGTAAGTATTACCCCTAGACAGATAAGGCCATTAAGTAAAAGCTACCCCACACTAGAACATATAGTGAGAACCTTACTGTCAAAGTATAAGGGATAACAACATAACCTAACATGGGAGCTTGACCAGGAGAGTTATTTGACTGCGAAAATAACTCAAAACATTCTTTGAACTATATGTACTGGTATGGGGTAATAACAGTTGCATGTTTCTGGTAGAAGATTTACCAAGATGGTGTCAGTGGAAGTATTGTTTTCATATTAGTTTACAGGTTGTTTTTCTCCTAAGGTGGGAGAAAGGTTAAGTAACACATTTTTGTTGTGGTTATGGTAAGTGCTATGTGCATAGTTTACATTCAATTTGTGTTATTTTATGTGCCTGTGGGAAAACTTTGTCCACTGATACTGTAAGAGGGAAGCAAGTGTTTAAAGATAAAAACTATGTCCGAAGATGAGTCTTTAAACTTTTTAGGCTTCAGGGAGGAAGGTAATAATTCATCAGTAAACATGCCTGGTAACAGTGAACATGAGGGATCACCTACTCCAGGTGATATGGAAATGGGGAGAATGAGACTTAAATTAGCGGTGCTAGAGGCTGAAATGAAATTAATGAAAGCTAAGGAGGAAGAGTGTCAAAGGTTAGGAGGTTCAGAACCAGAGCCTGAGCAGTACTTTAACATAACTAAAGCTGCAAATTTTGTCCCTAAGTTTACAGAGAGTGACCCAGATAGATATTTTTCTTTTTTTGAGAAGACTGCTCTGGAACAAGGATGGCCCAAACAGAAGTGGACTACCCTAGTTCGCACACAACTTGTGGGTAAAGGATTCCAGAGAGTAGAGACTCTGGAGGGGAAAAATTTTTCTGATTATGATAAAATTAAAGAGGAAGTATTGCTTGCCTACCAAATGATACCTGAGAAATATAGACAAAAGTTCAGAAATCAAAAATTTCAGGATGGGCAGACCTTAACTGAGTTTGGGAATGAGAAACTGTTCCTTTTTAAGAAATGGGTTTGTTCTAAAGGAGTTAATAAAGACTATAACAAATTAGTAGATCTGATGGTTCATGAGGAATTGTACAATACAATCCCTGTTGACCTCAGAGAGTATCTGGAGGACAAAAACTCAGGTAATCTTTCAGAAGCACTGGATCTAGGTGACAGATTCTTGGCTCGCAGGGAATTGGTAAGTAAAAACAGTCATGCTCCTTCTGAAAATTTCCCCACTCATTCTAAACCTTATTCCAAGTCCTATGGTCATAAAGGTAAGTGGGACAAGAATTTTCAGGGACAAACGAAGGCTGAGGCACCCTCTAAAATAGAAGGCAAAGGTAAGTCAGCTGGAGCTCAAAGTTTACCTAGACAATCAGATGTTTCAGGTCCTCGAGTAAACAGTACCAGTCCTACACCAAATGGTAAAAATACCTTTAAGAGTTATGCCTGTTACTACTGTAACAAAACTAGACACACGCAAAAGTTTTGCTGGTCAAGACGGAGAGATCAGGGAAGTAGTGTGAGGGAGACTGGGCCTACTATGATGCAGTTAATTGCTGCACAGGGATGTGTTGACACACTTTTGTCACCCTGGGTATGGTGGCCCCAACTTAAGTTATAAAAACTTACCCCTGGAGCACACATAATGCCCAAAAGAAATAGAAGGACCAAGAGGTCCTGCCAGCTTGGAGTCCACCAACAGAGAGAGAGAGAGAGAGAGAGAGAGAGGGAGAGGGAGGAGCCTAGCTAAGCTCCTCCTACACCCATCAAAAACAAAAGAATGTTGCCAAGCACAATTCTCCAGTTACCACAATTATACCACACCTTAATTTTACTTTTACAAAAAGAATTACAACTTTATAAACTACTTATTTAAATTGTGTGTTTGTGTGTCTATAGTATAACCTATTATATTGAGAAAAACAGGCTTGACTCAGCTGCCTTACAGCCATAAAAGTGATCTGCCCTTATGACATTTAGAGCTGAGTCCCCATCAATTCAATGTAATTAGGTATCCCAGAGTAACTTACAGATACATAAATACATGTTGGGTCCCATAGCCCCATAACAGTAACCAAAGATTGGACATCTGATTGGAGGGAGAGAGCATGGAGCAGGTGAATGTATTCAGATATTTGGAGGTGGACATGTCAGCAGATGAGTCTATGAAAGATGAGGTGAATCATAGAATTGACAAAGGGAGAAAGGTGTGTGGTGCTCTGAGGAGTCTGTGGAGACAAAGAACTTTATCCATGAAAGTAAAGAGGGGAATGTATGAGAGTATAGTTATACCAACACTTTTGTATGGGTGTGAGGCATGGTTGGTAATGTTGCAACAAGGACAAAGCTGGAGGCAGTGGAGATGTCATATCTGAGGGCAATGTGTGGTATGAATATAATTCAGAGAATCCATAATTTGGAGATTAGGAGGAGGTGTGGGATTACCAAAACGAAAATCCAGAGTGCTGAGGAGGGGTTATTGAGATGGTTTGGGCATGTAGAGAGGATGGAACCAAATAGAATGACTTTGAAAGTGTGTAAATCTGTAGTGGAGGGACGGCAGGGGTAGGGGTCGGCCTAAGAAAGGTTGGAGGGAAGGGGTAAAGGTTTTGTGTGCGAGGGGCTTGGATTTCCAGCGTGCGTAAGCATGTTAGATAGGAGCAAATTGTTTTTAGGACTTGACGTGCAGTTGGAGTGTAACTCCAACTGCACGTCAAGTCCTAAAAACAATTTGCTCCTATCTAACAAGGTAACATTTATGAAAGGATTCAGGGAAACCGGCGGGCAGGGAGATGGGAAGTACAGTGTCAGCCCTCTGCAGAGGGGTGTTAATGTTGCAGTTTTATAACTGAGTGTAAGCATGCCTCTGGCAAGACAGTGATGGAGTGAATGATGATGGAAACTTTTCTTTTTCGGGCCACCCTGCCTTGGTGGGAAATGGCCGGTGTTAATAAAAAAAAATATTAAATTGATAAACAAAAAATGCCT